CAAACACACAAATTCCAGTACATTCGTGCTGAATAAATTATGCAATTTGTATAAAATCATAAATGACTAAAAACTTTGTCAGCACATAGTATTAGGAAATAATAACTATATTCATGATACTTTTTATAAGAGTAGATGGAGTTTCTAATTTCTTCTTCTGAATAATAAGGACCTCAAGCTCTTAGATAGTACTTAGAGCAGCTGCTCTGATCAACAGTCACATAATATTGGAGTTCTTACAGTACTATGTAGTGCAAAGATAGGTTTCTTTGTAAGCATTTCTAGTGGGCAACCCTGAAGTCACTTTATACCATTGTCTCCAGCAACTTACAGACAACTTATGTTGCTTTTGACAATTGGCAGCTACTATTATTCTTGGCATCTTCCCTTTCACTCCCAGTAACCCCTTGTGTCTTAGGGTAAAATGATTGAAAAAAAAAACTTTTATAAGCAGAAACCTTTCTATACTGATACACTGGAAAAACTATAACTTGGTAACTGAAATATATCAGGAGAAAGATTTTTGAATATTTTTCATAGACATGTATTCTTTATATCCATGGTCTTTTGAAACAATTTCTTTCATGTAGATTTACCATCAAAGCATCAAAAATAATTTCCATAAATAAAAAACATGCTCTGTTTAAATCTAACTTACTAATATTTTGTTTAAGGCAAACTTACAATATTTTGATAGACAAAATTACAATGGTTTTATATGAAACATTTTTTTCCTGATTTAGTCTGTCAAAATTGATATATGCCTTTGATGCTTTATATAACACTTTAATTTTGTTTTTGTTTTTTAAAATAATTATTTAACTAATACAAGGTAGAAGGGCTATGCAAGGTAGAGAGTTACTGAATTAAGTTGTTGTATGAACATAAGCGGAAGATGATAAGTGCAGATTATGAGGATATGTAGAATAGATAATGATGGACCCTAGAAGTTGAAAAGGTTAACATTGTAAAGATCAGGGGAGCATCCACTCAGGAGTTTGTTCCACAAATCAGCAGTTCTTGGAAAGAAGATGTCCAAAAGGAACTTTCTTCTTACTAATAGAATGGGGATGATCTGTTCCACTCAGTGTATGTGGCATGGCAGGTATTAGCTGTGAAAGTCTGAACTGGTGAAACTTATGAATGTAGCTCATCAGAACATTTGCTGTGGAAATAATGCTAGAGTAGTGATAGGCTGGTGACATTTTTTTTCTATAGGAAAGTGGTTGTAGTGTGGAAAATAATTCATCACCCACAAGACTACATAGGGGGTTTTGAATTCTATTGAGGATGGAAAGTGAGGTTTGGTAGCTCCAAACCAGATATAACAGTAGTATTCCATTTTTGGTTTGATTTGGTTTTTGTAAAGGTAGAGCATAGCAGAAGGAGTCAAGTACTTTCTAGAATGGTACAAGGAACTGATCATTTTACCAGTATCTTTAGATTTGGATCATATATATGTGCTCCGCTTAGAGGTCTGAAGGGAAATGGTATCCCAGTAGACATTTGAGACAATACTCCCTTGAGAGTACAACTGTTTATCATCGTAGGAAAAAAAAACTCAAGTTCTATTTGGTGATGATGAAGTGTTATTATTTTGTGAGGTATTGAATATTACAAGCCAGTTCCACTCGCATTGAGCTGTGAGAGCAAGCACAAAGGAGAGATCAGATAGTAGGCTATGTCATCTAGATTTTGGGAGGTGCTGCCATATACTGTTGTATCATCTGCATAGATATTTACTAATGTTCTGAGTATGTTCTTTGGAAGATAATTAATATAAAGCAGAAAAAGGGTAGGACAGAGAAGAGAACTTTGGGAAATTCCTGTATTGTTCTCATTGGTCTTCAGAAGACTGGGCTTACAGCTACATCACTGTACAATCCCCTAAGTTGAAAATTCCTGTACGATCACCTAAGTTAAGCAACATCAAGCCTGGTCAATACCGAGATGAGTTACTGCTTAGGAATACCAGGTGCAGTAAGCTTGGATGTGTGGGTGGTGTAATGGATAATGGCTTGGAATTGTTAATCAGAGAGCTGAGTTTCAATTCCAGATGGGTTCATTATATTCACTTACATGCAAATACTCTTGGGAAAAACCATTATTCTCACTCACACCAAAAAAGAAATATTCTTACAATCTCAAAAATATTTTTTTGGCTTTAAATAACCTGCAAAGGGTTGATAAGCCATAGAAAATAAATCAAATCAGAAGACTGGCCATTAACAATTACCTTCATGTTAGGATGAACTTGATGATTTTAAAAAATCTTCCATAGCTGTAACCTCCTATGCTATACCTTGTCAAATGCCTTTGATATATCTAAGGCAATCACACTCATAATGAATAGTAATTGTATTAATTTTAAAACTATTGACTGGGAGTAAAAATAAAAATCATTATGTAATCATTTGATACTAAAATCCACCTTAAAAAGGAAAAACATTGTCTTGTTTTCTATTTCAAGAGCTGCACTTAGTCAGGCTTTCAGAGTTGCTACTGTCAAGAACATTTTAAAAACAAAATACTGACCATTACGTCTTTTTCATTAGTATAATTGGATTTAGAAGATGAGATTTTCTCTGACATGGAAATCATGTCCAAATATGATTTTGCTTATGAACCCTTAACACTTTAATTAGTCAATTCTTCATCAAGATTAATTAACCAAACAACTAATTATGGAATTATTTTTTTAGTGGCAAATGTAGTATTATGCCAGAATAAGCTTCACACATAATTTCCTACCAGACCAAGGAAGCCAAGTGCAAGCTGACCTGAGATGACCCTAGGCTGGGGGTGGAAATCCATGATTCACTCATTGTCAGTGGTGACCCCAAGAAGCCTGTATGCACTTGATATAGCATGCATGACAAAAATCATTGGACATATGAACAACTGCTCTCAGTAAGAGTTGAGTAGTGTTGAAAACATAGTAGATCCAGAATGTAGGGTCCACATGTCTGATAGTAACTAACAAAGTATTGAAGTGAAATGTCTTGTGTAAAGTTCTCACAAGTATGCAGTGTAGTCAGGGAAAGATAACTCACTTATGAGTAGAGAAATCTTCCCACTTATATACAATCTAATTTACATATCACCACATCTCCTGGAACCTTAGAGGCTTTTTGCCCTTGATAGATCTGCTACTTCTAGGAACCCCTTCAGGAGGTGTACTGCTTGTCACATGGTGATTGCCTACATTCTTCTTAATGAGGTATCTCAGTCATTGAATTCTTCTTCATTTGAACCTTCCTTATAACTAGAAACACTCATTCTCTCCTCCCCTTCACTTTAAAATTCTTAGTGACCATCCTGATCCCTCTTTTCTGCACCAGACTTTGCCTCCATTTCAATATCTTCTCTTTGCAATCTAAACTGGTCTTCATGAGCTAACATGCCCTGTCCATTTTTTGTTAATATCGCTGTATTAAATCCTTTTTGAACTACAAATTGTGCTTTATCAGGATTTTTATTATTGTTTTTGTACCATATATTCTACCATATATATTTGTTGAGAAGGCCTTGATTATTGGGGCTCTAATTTGCCTTCCCATTAATGCGTTCTGCCTGCATGTGAGATGTTCCTGTAACTTAAAAGCAATCTTGGCAGGCAACTTTCTAAGCTGGAGAGAATGTTTTCAATCCAACTTTTATCAGCTGGACCATCCTCTCCACAATTCCATTTGACTGAGGATGGTATGACAGTGCTTTGTATGACCTACATCCAATTCATGTTAACCATGTACCCAAGCTTTCTTCAGTAAACTCTGGTGCATTATCTGACACAAATGACTTAGGTCCTTGAATATGAGCCTACTAGTATGAGGAATAGGCCTACATTTTTAATGTATGGATCCTCTTATCCATGGCTCCTCCTCTTTTGGCCATGAATGAATCTTGGTTTGCCTAAAGCTCTTTATCTTTGCACACCTAGAGCATTTTCTGACATAATCCTCCATGTCACACATGTACCCTGGCCACCAGGCTTGTAGTTTCAACCTCAGTTTGCTTAATAACATCTTTTCTTAGTGATTTTTGTGGTACAATAAAATCTCCACTACATATGACTCCTCTTTCAATTATTTATCTGTGCCTTACTTCCTTAAAAGGCCTTTCTGCCACAGTGCAATTGCTCCATACATTATTCCATATTCTATTCAGTACTCTTTTTAATATAGGTATTCCTCAGTTTTAAACTTGAGCTGCCTGAAGGATAACACAGCTGTCTCTACCTCGTGCAAAATTCTGTCCTTATAACTGTCCTTTGTTTCAACATTTGAGTATTAAAATTTAATCTTGACAATGTATCTATGTGTGGAATGGCATTTCCTTTAATATACATGTCAAAATCAAATGCCATAAGCTTAATCACTCACCTCAAAATTCTGGACAACATGACTTTATGCAACCCTTTCCTCAGGTTGAAAATATACTCTGAAAATATACTCTTTTAGTCCAACTTTAGTAGAAATTTCTTACCCAATGGCAAATTGTGCACCCTTTCATACTCCAGACAACTGCCAGTGCTTCTTTTTCTAATAAGTCTGTCATCTGGCAAGACGTCATATAGTCATTCAATTAGCCTTCTCTATATTTTACTCCTATTTACTCCTCCTCTATATTTGCTGTCAATCAAATTATTTGACTCTTGCCAATACCACAAAGCATCTCATCCAAGTTTCAACAAGGTTATATATCCTATCGTCGATGCCATGTTGTTGTGTCATGTAAAGTTCTCACAAGTACACTGTGTAGTCAAGGAAAGATAACACTGATGAGTATAGAAACCTTCCCACTTATATACAATCTAATTTGCATATCACCACAGTTATGTTAAATATTGAAGATTTATGTTTCATGTTATCATTTAAGCAGTGCCATAACTTCATTGCAAAATGTTAGAGTTAATAAAAAAGCTAAAATGTATACAAAAAATAAATAAATCTCCCAATGTATTGATGAGAAAAACAAACTAACTTAAGAGAATTACTTACTCTTTGGTCATCAGGAGACCATACTCCACAGGTTATGGAAGCATTGTCCAAATTCAGCATGGATGACCAGTACCTTTGCCCAGCAACAGAGCCCACCAGCACAAATCCATCCCAGTAACATATAAGCGCCATGCGGCCATCATGTGACCATGCAAAGTCAGTAACCTAAAGAAGAAATAAAAGAAGACATAATAATTCTTCACAATAGAAACAAAAATCAAAATGTCTGAACTAGATTTTTCATTTCATGAAAAACTTTTATCAATTTTTTAAAGCCTAAAAAGGATGAAACTGGCAAAATATTAAATTCCACAAAAGACAAACAAGGTTATTATTTGAATGTTAAACTTATTCTTGAATATGTACTCATCATATCTCACTAATAAAATGTAGACAAGAATTTGTAAATGGTAAAAAGAAATTATTTTAATCTTATTCAAAAACAGATTAAACTGTATTTCAATCATTAATGTTTTCAAATATATTTTTACCTATCATAACATAATAACTTTGATATAACTTCATAATTTACTCATATTTAAATTGTGTTGTAAATAAAATTCCCATAAAGAAAAATATTTATCACCATAAAGAAAAATTTTAAATTTATTAATCTTCCAAAATGTACATTGGATTCACTCAAATTAATGGCAGTTCTCAAAAGCTTGAATAAATTTGGAATAAATATGTTACTTCTTATAAATTTAAATACAATTTTTATATCCTTATATTTTAGAATGAAGATTTGTCAATATCATATTAAAACTTTATTTTTTTCTTAAAATTTGTATTTTTATTTCCAACAAATAATTAAAAAGCAAAATGAGGAAAATATATTTTTAATTAGCTACTTTCATAACAAAATGGATGTTGTTGCTAACATACATAGTAAATTAACTTTAAATTATAATTTTAAGTAAAACTAACAAAATCATTGTTTTCTAGAATTTTCTTAAAATAAACAAGCAGTGGAAAGAGAGAATATGAAATTAGATTTCTGATGTTATTTATAACAGTAAATCTTTTTCCAACGAAATGCCATATTTTGTGAATCAAATAAACCATAAAATTTTCCTTTTATTTTATAAATATGAATATTTAATGCTACAAAGTTTAATGCAAATTCAGTTTATTATTTAGGCACTATTATTAATGTAACTTTTTCACAGTTGTGTGTGAATTGTATGAAATTAGAAATACACTATGACATTAAAACAACCTGTTTAATCCATATTTTTCATTGCTAATCTTCTGTACTTTATGTACTATTGACTTTACTGTTTATCACTTCCTATTTATTTTCATCAGTAGAAGAGCCAAAAAGTAATTTTTGAAACATTTTCTTTTTTTTGAATCAAAATGTCTGCTGATAAAGCAGAATACCTTAATTCAAAATTCTCTTCCAACAGAATCTTTATTGAGAGATATCCATATAACTCCATCCATGGTTTCTGTTAATATCGCCAAACTAGAATCCCCTAGGTAAGATTTGGCAGTATCCTCACAATTGTCTTAAGGAAATGTACTCTTGAACTGGCTCCTGTTCTATTCAAGCTCTACAAATGCCTTGCTGTTTTTTTTTGCTTCCAACTTGTTGGAAATCCTCTTCTGCAGTAGATGTCTTTAAGAACACTGGTGAACCTTCTAATCACTCAAATTATCACTATTTGTTTTTGAAACATACTAAAGGTTCTAATCAACTCTGAATTAGTTAAGAATCGTATTTTGCACAACCTTTTTTAAGATAAACAATATGGCTTTCACATCTGTAGATCAACTGCCAATGTGATAATAGTTATTACTGAATTTGTTGACTAAACTTTAGATAAGAAGGTCTAGGCTCAGGCTGTTGCTCATGATACCTCAAAGAGGTTTGACAGAGTTTGGCATACTGGCCTTCTTCACAAGTTGAAATGTCTCTGACCAAATATTTGATTTGATTCAATCATTCCTAACAAATTGTGTAATGAAAGTCATGTCAAATGGCCACTCTTCTAGGTCCTTTTACATAATGTGGGGCACCTCCAAGGCTCTATCCTTGAACCTATGTTGTTTTTTTATTTTTATCAATGATCTTCCCCATGTCATCAGTTCCCAACTTGGTATTTATGTGGATGGCACAAATGTTTACTTCTATCTTAATTGTAAGTTTGATAGGTCTCATAAAGTAAAAAAGGCAACAAACTTGAAAATAACCTCCAATCAGTTGTGTTATACTCTGTAGCATATTAGATCTTTTTGATTCACTCTACATGTTGGCTGAATGTGAGCATTAAGAAAGCAAAACCCAAAATAAAAAAAAAAATGTGCATCATATCTGGCCCACAAAACAAATCCCCACAAAAAACTAAAATACAACAAAAAAGAAGCCAATCACAAACTTTGACATAAAAAAAATGATGAGCCAAGTACAGAAGCCACCAAATTTGCTTTTAAGAAAGCTGCTCATAAATGACTGACACAGAATGCAACCAACAAGCCAGCTGTTGACACCCAGCAAGCTCTTAATGTTACCAACATGACCACGCAACTGACCTGCCACACATATCTGCTCAAGACCCACCTTCCTCTAAACACCCACATCATATCCACAGAGACATTCTGGTCACATCCTCTGTATCAGCAAAGTTAGATTCATGGCTAATATCAAGCTTCACTAATCCACAACAAGCCTCTCTCAACATTAACCTCCATGACCTTGGTCAACCAACCCACCAAACTCGTCAACTCCAAGCCTTACCAACTCTACCCATATTCAAAATCACCACATTTCACTCACACACAGATATTACACTTGCATCCATTGTATCAGCAATACAAATAATTTTATATTTACAATTCTTGTCTTCTTTTCTTTTCGTTTCATTGGCAATACTGTGTGTTTATTTGTTCTTCCATGCTACTATATCCGTGTTTATGACAGTTGTTAACTAGAGCAAGAAATGACTTATAATTCCTAATTCCTCCAAAATGTAACTGCTATCTTTTATTCATCATAGAGAACTATTTTTGTCTTTCATCAGCATGGCTAATGCTAATCTCCAGCAGAGCAATTCTTTGCAACTTCTTGGTCTCATGTTTTGCACTGATATGAAGTTGAATGATTATATTGAATCAATTGTGAGGTCTTCTGCTAGCAATGTTTGTTTCCTGTGTCATGTCAGACAATTTTCTCTCACGAAAATCTTTCTTGCATGCTTATAAATCATCCATGTATTGAATGTTGCTGCCATATTTGTTCTGGTACCTCCACTACATATCTCAAGATTCTTGACAAAATTGAAAATCCTGACACCTGGCAGCTTGACTTCAGTTCCTTTCCCCCCACCATGGATTGGCTTCCCTCTGTCTCTACAAATATTTTCATGACAGCTGTTCTAATGAACTATCATCCTGGGTACCGTGACCACATGAATTTAAGTGTACTACTAGATTGGCAACTAGATCTCATCATTTTGTTGTTGAAATAACAAAAGACGTAATAATAAATTTTATTCTAACAGTTTCTTTTCTCAGACTTCTTGCCTGTGGAACTCTCTTCCAGTTTCCTGCTTCCTTGCTATTTACAATTTTCAAAAGTTTAAATTCAACATCAATTGACATTTTCTGTTTTACTGATACTTGTTCTTTTATTGCCCTTTCTCCTTATTAGTGTCTTCTTATTTTCTTTCACTTTCATTAACCCCTTGTGGTTTAGTGACATTATCACCTTTCATGGGGTTAAAAAGAATTATTTCACATGATACTATTCAGTGATTCTATTGGACAAGTATATTTATCTTTTACAACATTTAAGTTACCAATTTTGAGCTTTTTAATAAAAACCTTTATTTTATGCAAAATCGTATGTTGTTTCCATTCATCTTTATCTAATGTTCTTACTGGGGAATTTAACGTGTAACTCACTTCTTTCTGCAGCCACTAGAAAACTATCAGTACTGGAAGAAAAATATAATCAAAACTATACACAGAGGAACTCATGCATTTTTTTTTATCATTTTATCCCAAGCAAGGTGATAAAAGCCACTAAGATGTAAGGAGTGAAACAAACAGAGTAGACAATAAAAAAATCAGGATTCAACAAGATAGGTAACAACTGACATTGCATTTACATTTTTGAAGATCAAAATTGACAGGAAATCAGGAAGCTGGAAGGAAGTTCAACAAGTGAGAAGTGTGGGAGAAGAAAATATTAGTATAGAACTTATGGTTACAATTAGTAATTTCAACAGTGAAATTATAAGACCTAGCTGTTAATCTAGTACTACTGTAGCAGAGAATATAAATATGAAATGAATGCCATTTATTGGCTAGTATTACACCATACCAAAAATAAATGACAGAGCAAGTTAAAGATCTGAAGCAAGGATTTACAAGTATAATCCAGTGGGGATCAATTGATGCTTACAACTTACTACCCCACTGATTCCTGGCTAGCTCAATCAATACATTTGCACTTACAAAAACCATTTTTTCTATTATTAGCCTGAGGAACACTCTGTGGCTTTGGGTTAGTTGAGGCTATAACATGAAATGACAACTGGTCAAGGGTTATGGTTCAAACATAACTGAAGGCTTTATTTTTAAAAGAGTTCTAATAACATATTAGAAAAAATGTAGATATAAACCATTACCCTCTTTATCCAAATTTATGGTAGTAGGATCTCTCTCTCTCTCTCTCGTACTACTTTGAGATATACATATTGTTCCAAGTTATGAAAGAAGTTGAAATTTAAAGAAATTAATTGTTTTTGTTTATTCCACCCTTCAATGAACACCATATTACAATACATATCTGTTTTGATTGATGCATACAAAATACATGTGCATTCCTATCCTGTTTTTCAATCAACAACAGGAAAAATATAATGTGGTTGAGTTGTCCCAGAACAGCAAAGATGGTCAATATTCTCATCAATCTCTCACAAAATGAAGAATGTGAAGTCACCATAGAATGATTAATAGCTAGAGGTAGGATCATCTTTGCTGTAAGCAATGTTGATGACTAAGAGTTAGCATCTATCATTTCCTTCCATTATCACAGAATCTTTCTTCATCTAATACTATTACAAGTACCTCCTCAAAATAAGGTTACAGACACTTCCTCAAAATAAGGCTTGAACTTGAAGAATATCAAAAAGCTCTAGTCCATGGTGAAGATATGA